GTGGAGAAGGGAGATCCGGTGGCCTAGTGGATAGGGAGCAAGGCAGGTGGTTTGAATCCACGAGCTGCTTAATAGGAGAAAGATGGGAAGTCTCCTCTCGTGTGATTTACAGCCTCTGAAAACCCACTGGAGTGTCAGCTAGGAAGTGGTTTTGACCTAATAGCAAAGACATCATTGGACTTTAGGAAGGCAGAATTCTCTAAGAAAAGGCGAGATTATGCAAATCAGTCGGCACCCAGAAGCGACCTCCAAAATGGCATCTTTGAGCTGCCGAGCTGGCACAGGTCCTACTCCGCAGACTGTCCTATTTCAGGACGGCATTTATCAGGTTATGTGCTGTCATCATAGAACATACTCTTCCGAGATGCCTGCCCTCCAGAAGCTCCTGCAGGAGTTCTTAGAGGAGGTTGTTAAGAGGGACTGTCTGGGGGTGCACAGGCTGCTCTGCTTCCTGGGTCTTGTGAATGCTGCCTCCTTGGCCTGGATTGTCTCCGGGTTTCCCCTTTGATTCAGCACATCAGGTAAAGAAGAAAATGAAACTGGAATATAGGAAAGTCCATGATACAGAGCAAGCCTGGCAGTTAAAGTGTAAGGCAGCTATTTTTTTTTAAAAGGTGATCTAACAGAATGTGGAAATTACCAATTAATTAATAATACATGCAAGTAAAATCTTGCTGAAGCTTTTTTTAAAATAGCTGGAACAGTATATTGACTGACTGGTAATTGCCAGAAATTCAAGCTGGCTTCAGAAAAGGCCATGGAATGAGGGTTATCACTGCTGATGTTCTATCTTAGGTTACAGCGGAGAATATGAGAAAGATGTTTTATATTTGTCTTATTGACTATGCAAAGGCATTTGACTGTGTGGATCATAACAAATTACGGCTAACACTGAGAAAATGGGAATCCCAGAACACTTAATGATGTCAATGCAAAATCACTCCACAAATCAAGAAGAAGCAGTTGTCCAAACAGAACGGGGAAACAATGAATAGTTTAAAATCAGTAAAGGGGTGTGTCAGGGCTGGATCTTTTCCCCATACCTATTCAGCCTGTATATTGAGCAAATCATTCTAGAAGATAGACTTTATGAAGAAGATTGTGACATCAGGATTGGAAGAAGATACATCAACAACCTGCATTATGCAGATGGCACAACTTTTAAAGTGTGGAAGACTTAAAATGCTTACTGCAGAAGATCAAAGACTACATCCTTCCATATGGATATCTCTCAACATCAAGAAAATAGTAATAGCCAAAAAAATCTCACCACTGCACTAGTAGACAATATAATGATAAATGGAGAAAACATTGAAGTTGTCAATCATTTCACTTAGATACACAATCAATACCTATGGTACCAGCAGTCAAGAAATCAAAAGATGAGTTGCATTAAAAAGAATCTCCTGTCAAAGACTTTTTCAAAGTGTTTAAGAACACATGCATGTTAAGTTAAAGACTAAGAATGCCTGATCCAAGCTATGGTTTAAGATGGGTTTGGAAGCAGGAGTGGCATCTACTTCCTAAACAACATGCCTCTGGAAACTCTATGAACTTTGATAAATGATGATAGTTATAGAAGGCTTCAGACCTTTTGTTCATAGGGTCGCTATGAGTCATGCTTGACTCAACAGCAATCAACAACAATAACAAGAAGTGCCTAATTCAATTCATAGTACAACAATGACATATGCAGCTCACAAGTCATAATGGACTAAGTATTGGGCTGCTAATGAAAAGGTTGTGAGTTCAAATCCACCAGATGTTATGATAAGATGAGGCAATCAGCCTCAATAAAGATTTTCAGCCTAATAGGGTCAATGGAGCAAAAATTATCTGGGCATAATTCACATGCATGTGAAGGCCGAGCAGTTAATAAGGAAGATCAGAGAACTGGGTGTCCTGTGCCACCCTCACACTTCTTGACACACTAGAGTTCCTTGTGGCAGCCACTGAGTCAATCCACCTGGTTGTAGGTCTTCCTCTCCTTCACCTACCCTCCACTCTTTCAAGCATCATGTCTGTCTCCAAGGAATAGCCCTTCCTAGCAACATACCCGAAGTATGTTTGGAGGCAAGCTATTTCAGAAGTGGATGCCACTCCTGCTTCCAAGCTTGTTTTAATCGAGGAACTCCACCAAACACTGTCCACCATGGGTAACCATTATCACATTTGACACATCAGTGTCACAGTGTCCAGCTTCACAGCAACCACAAATTACCTCTGTACAGCAAGTTGACAGACCAGGGCTATATGACCTAGAAGAATGTTTGATCAAAAACAAATAAAAACAGACCTGAGGGCCACAGATTAAAGTCACCCACTGTTGGGGCCTGGCTAACTTGTAAAGCAAGATTAGCCCTGTACCAAAAGACCAGCAAGACTAACTCCATCTTGGCTATAGTATCTGCTTGGCAGAAAACAACTCAAGGAAGCAGGATGTTAAAAAGTGAGCCATACTGTAGCCATTTTAAGCAAGTAACTATTTCATGCCAGGTTCAAATGTGCAGATGTTTGGAAAGGAGCAAAAACAAGTTTAAAGGTTCTTTGAACCCCAAGGCCAAGCAGGGATGTGCAGAATGGTATGACCCTCCCTAAAGACTCTGTTCTGATGGCCTTGCTTGCTAATTGGAAGCCTTGCTTGCAGGTGGCGGGGATATCAAGACAAATGTATTGTTGGCCTTGAGGCTGAGCTGTTTTTCTGTTCACTGCAAAAAGGATATTAACACAGGAGTTCGGGAATAAACTTTGCTATCTGCCATCAGCCGGTAGCCTCTCTGCGTCTTCATTTAATCCTCGTCTCGGTGAAACTGCTCTGTATAATGAGGCGGTACTCCACTAACCCACCTTTAGCTTGGTAGCATCACTTTCTGTCCACTAGGCCAACTGGTCTCTCTCTATGCTGTTGTTATTGTTAAGTGCCGTAGGGTCGTAGGTGACTCATAGGATGAAAAGAAAGCCTTGGGATGAAAAGAAAGCCACAAGATCCCCGAGCATTCCATACGCCTGTGTGTCCCACTTTAAGACGCAAAAGGCCCTTCAAAGGCCCTCCAGAGGTCCAGCTGGGACCAAGACACACAACACACTGGCCTGCCTGAAGTACGGGATTGAGAAATACCCTACGCTTCTCTTTCTTTGGTGGTAAGGCCACGTGAGCCCCAAGCCTGTTTTCACCAAAGTCCACCTATTAAATAAAACACATTTGCTATACACTCAGCTAGTAGTGCTTTGCTCATTGTTGCTGTTTTACCATGGGGTCAGAACTGACCAATAGCTAACCCCCCAGCGGGTTTTCAGAGGCAGTTAATAGCAGGGAAGGAGATTGCCCGTCTTTCTCTCCCAGAGTGGCTAGTGGCCTCAAACCATGTGTCTTCAGGATTGCAGTGCACCTTCTTGCCACTAGGCTGAAACTAAGAAGGACCTGAAGTGCTTGCTGCAGAAGGTCAAGGACTGCAGTCTTCAGTATGAATTGAGGCTCAATATAAAGAAGACAGATTTTCACCATTCGGCCAATTGGCAGCATCAGGATGGATAGTGAAGATTGAGATTGTTAACAGCTTTCGTTTGCTTGGCTCCACAGTCAACACTCTTGACACCAGCAGCCAGGAAATGAAAAGTCATATTGGATGGGAAAGTCTGCTGTTAGGGACCTCCCAAAGCACTGAAGAGCAATGATGTCACTCTGGAGACTAAGGTGTGCCTGATATAGGCCATGGTCATTGTAATCACTTGGTATGTGTCAGAGAGCTGGACAATGACTAGTGAGGACAGGAGCATTAATGCCTTTGAGCTGTGGTGTTGGAGAAGAGTATTGAAGAAAACGATCAGATTCAACCTAGAGAGAGTTAAACCATGTTGCTCCTTGGAGGTAAAGATTCTGAAGCTTCGTCTGACATACTTTGGACATGTTGCAAGGAAGGACCAGTCCTTGGAGAGGGACGTCATGTTGGGGAGAGTGGAGGGACAGAGCAGAAGAGGAAGACCCTTGATGAGGTGGATTGATCCAGGGACTGGGGTAGTCGTGGTGCGTGTGTCAGAGACAGTGAGATTGGCACAGGACAGAGTAGGGTTTAGGGCTGTTATACAAAGGGTCGCTGTTGAGTCGATGGCACATAACAATAGCAACATCAGTGTTGCTTCTGTACTTAATGAGTTTGGACTTTGAGATTGCGTAAAACTGGACAAAGCCTTCCCCACTTGTTGCACAGTGGATTGCGAGTAACACTTTTCCTTAACAAATCAGAGATTACAATCCTTACCTGGGGGTGGGGTGTACTGCTGTGATTGTGCACATAGGTGGTAGGTCAGTGGTGTGTCTTACAGGGTTTTTCATTGGCTGATTTTCTTAAGTAGATTGCCAGGCTTCTCTTCTCTCATTGTATAGTCTGGAACCAATTCCCGCTAAAATCAATTCAGCTTCATAACAACATGATACCCTCGGGTTCATGATGTAGTTTATGATACTTAGGGACTCCAGTGAATACTATTGGTCGTCGTGTCTGTGCACATACACATGCGCACGGGGCTTCTGGGTAAATCCCAAAGGAAAAGGCTCGAAGTCTGGGCTCCACAGTCATCCCTTTGTCTCTCAGCATCAGGGTCACAGCGTGGTGCGAATCGTGGAGTAGAGGAAAAGTCTTTCCAGCATCTGTTGGCCGAGGAAAACAACTAGCCCAATGAGAAAAAGAGGACAGAAGCTGGCCGGCCAGGATGTCACCCTCGAATCACGAAGACCTAGGCGGGTCTACAGGGATGATGGAGCAGCCGCCCTCGCCCCGCCCCGCATGGAGAACAATGCACTCAGTCCGGTGCGCAGAGCCGCGCAGAACCACGCCCGCAGACCGGCTCAGCCCGGAGCATGCTGGGAAATGTAGTCCCTGACTCCCGGCGCGCGCGGCCCCGCCCTCGCCACGCCGGGGCCCCGCGCTACTACAAGTCCCATCACGCCTCGCGAGAGCCCCCATCGCCTGGCTTTGGTTGGGAAGGCAGCTGGGTGAAACATGGCTGAGGGCGAGCGGGACGGCCCAACGTGCAGCAGCGGGCTGGCCGGCCGGCCAGAGCCGATCCCTCGCAGCGGGCACTACAGCTTCCCGGAGTACGAGCTTCCCGAGCTGAACACGCGACCCTTCCACGTGGGTGCCTTTGGGGAACTGTGGCGGGGCCGACTGCGCGGCGCCGACGACCTGTCGCTGAAGGAGCCCCCGGCGCCCGCGCTGCGACCGGGCTCCGACTGCACCCGGGAGGATGCCGCCGTGGCCCGGGACCTGGGCTGCAGCCTGGAGGCGGCGGCCGAGCTGCGGGCGGTGTGCGGGTGAGTGTGGGGCGCGTCCCGCTCCTGCGCCCGCCAGGACTTCGCCCGAGGGCCGGGCTGCACCCCGCGGGGTGGGCGGGCTGCGTCCTGCAAGCTCTCCACCCCCTGGAGTTACCCCGAGGCACCCCGGAATGCCTGCGGGCTGCGTAAAGGACCACCCCCTCCCCGGCATCGCCTGTTAAAACATTAATTAATAAAGCGGGGTAATGCGATGTGCCAGCTGTGCACACTTATTTTGACACGCGCGGTACCCGAGCCATGGGCGTGTGAAAACCTTGATTAACTTGTCTCTTTTGAGGCTCCCTTGAGCGCACTAGTGCTCATCCCCCCGCCCCCCCAAAAGTCGCCTTGCCTGAAGATGCAAATGTAAAACTAGAAACTGTTAATGATCCTTTTTCCTCTCCAAACGACCCTTTTCGTTGTAGAAAGATTGGGACAAAAATCACGGCCTTGAATTTTCACCTCTGCATCTACTGGATTTTATCAGACTTTCTAAATACTGGGGCTGTAGTTAGGACACCACCCTTCCTCCAAGTGATTCTTTTGTCTGTTTTGCTCTTTAAGCCTTGATAAACTGCAGTGCCTTGAGGAAGGCCAGAATCCAGAAGTCATCCCCGGGGACACTGACCTGATGACGTTGGGGTAAGAAAGACTTTGCTTTTTGTGTGCTGTGCTATTATACTTTTTTGTTTGTTTAATAAAACCTTTTTTTTCCTTGTGATTTGAGGACAAGGTTACCGAGCAAATTTGCATTCCAGTCAACATTTGCTTTGTGACTCCCCAAAACGTGACTGAATTCTGCTGCTGCCTATTGTTTCCTGTAATTGTGACTCCTTCCTTCTTTCTTGCCCTCTCAGTTTTATGCCTGGGCAAGTGCTCCCCTTTTGATCTTGTATGGTTGATCGTCCTAAGCAGTGCTTTCCTCCTTGGAAATTATGATGATAGTGGATTATCTAAAAGACATGCCAGTTGTTTGACAGGAAGTTGAATCAAGGGTGTGATGTCAGCCTCAGGCTTGAAGGATCATTGAGGTTCCACCAGTCACTGTGAGAACTAAGCGTGCCATTTTTAAGTGATTTTGAGTTCCATGTTTTTCTCTCATTCTGTTGAGGAATTGAAATAATTTGTTCAACATTCTGAAAAGTTGAAAGAGTTGTAGAATCATCATCCAAAGGCCCACGCCCTAAATTCAGTAGTAGTTAGCATTTCCTTTAACTGTGGCTTTGTATATGCGCCTTTGGTGGTGCTGGAGAAAAGCACTAAATATCCCATGGACTTTCAAAAACATGAGCAAGTATGTCTTGGAAAGAGTGCAGCCAGGATGCCCCTGAGAGGGAAAGATGGGGAAATTTTGTCTCAGGTAATTTGGGCCAGGTAGGAGGGGGCCAGTCCTTGGACAAAGAACTCATGCTTGGAAAAGTAGTCAGTTAGCGAAGGAGAAATGAGATGGATTGATACAGTCCCTAACAATGGACTCTAGTGTTGAGATGATGAAGATGGTACAAGATAGGGCAGGTTTCAGAACTAATGTTGATAGGGTCCCTATGCGTCATACTTGACTTAATGGCGACCAACAACAGTAACATGGATGTGTCTGTAGGCTGCCTGCTGTGCGAGTCTGCCTTAGAGAAATTATCCATTAGTGACATCTACAGTTTTAAGCTTTTAGACCATTGTAGCTGTATTGTTTTGTCCTTGGTTTATCAAGGGTATTAATAAAGCAGTCAGAGTAATGCAATGTGCCTTGACTTTGTTTTCTCATTCATTTTCTACCTCAAATATTTATTCAGGCTGTCATGTCAGCACTGCGTTGGTTTCTTTTGTACCCCCTTTTGGTTCTTTTGTCTGTACCCCTTGCTGCCCACCGGAAACATTGTTACATTGGCACTGTGAGGCTTTCTTAAGCCTAGTCTTTCCCCCTCCCTATCATGTAAGCTTGCTCATTTGCTCAGAAATTACCGCTTGCTCTGCTTCTCAAGAGAATTTCAAACGCCATACCAGACATTCAGCATATAATCTGTCTGCCAGATCTATTTTAAACCACTTTCTTTTTTTTAACTGAATATATTATTATTTTTGTTATTTTACATATTTTTTTCCATTGGGCAAATCTCTTTTTAAAATTTTTTTTTACTAGTTTATTTACAAAATTCAAATTCAAATTTGAACAAATTGTTTCAATTTCCCTCACTCCCCCACCCATCAAATTGTACAACCCAATGATTGATTAATCCCCTCTTCTCCCAGTACATCCACATCCCTCTGCTTCCAGCCTCTCCCACCTTCCTTGATCCTATACTCATTCTACAATAGCGGTTTTATACAATATTTATCCTTATGGGACTGAGTTAGTTCATTCAGGATAATGCTCTCCAGTCCCTCCCAAATTAGGTAATAATTTACAAAGTTACTGTTCCTGCATAGTATTCCATCCTGTGAATGTACCATAATTTCTCAGTCCATTCATTTGTGATTGGACAGCTGGACTTTTTCCATGTTCTTGCGATGGTGAAAAATGCTGCTTTGAACATTGGTGTACAAATCTCAGTTTGTGCCTCACTTTTCATAGTCTCAGGGTATATTCCAAGTAGTGGAATAGCTGGGTCGTATGGAATTTCTATAACCACTTTCTTTTTCAAATTCAGGAGACCCATGAGATTCTCCCAGTGAACCCATTATAGAGGAGTCAGTTCTGACTCATGAACCCTGAGATGCGAAGTAGGACTGCCCCATAAGTTTTCTGAGACCATAAATCTTTACAGAAGTAGACATGTTTTTTCTGTGGAGCAGATATGGATAGATTTGAATCATGCACCTTTCAGTTTGATCCAGGTGCTTACCTGCTGCACCACTAAGGCTCCTCCATTTGAAGCTTACCCCCTGTTTTTTAAGAACCTTATATTTCTTTTGAAATGGTCTCAGGCAACATCTTTCCCTTAGAGAAGACATTCCCATTCTGGTTTTGAACTCTTAAATTTTCTTTAAACTTAAAATTTCTTTTAAATTTTTTTTATATTTTATTAATTTTTTGTGTCAAATCAGATCTGACTGGTACAGGAGGAGATTGCCCCTCCTCCAGCAGAGCATCTGGCGGATTCAAACTCTGAGCCTCTGGCATTGCAGTGCAGCTTCTTGCCACTAGGCTACCAGAGCTCCCTAAAATTCCTGAAATGCTTGAGGGCTCACTGAAAACTGGGCCTTGAGTTGACTCATCCCAGTTTGACCCCTTGTTGAGAATTTGCCTTTCCACTCCCGATACCACCTACACTCACCTTCATTTAGTTTCTGAGACTAAATTTCACAGGAAGGGATGGTCTCTCTTTCTGCCTCTGAAGGGCTGGTAGATTCAAAGTACCAGATGTGTACAGCCTTTGGATTAGAAAGGAGTAATTAGCATCTTCATTTTTAACAAGAACGCTGGGTGAACATTAAGTGTATTTTTCTGAAGTGTAGATTCTGGTTCTGTGTAGCGTGGGTGGAGATTCTCAGCTGGAATGAATAGAATGAGTAGAAGTCTTAACTAATAAGAATCCCAGATTGCATCTGTGAGTGGCACTTAAATGCATGCCTGGTAGGTAGTTCTGCTCCCTTGCATAAAATCCTTCCATAGGCCCTTGGCTAAAGCCCTTAGGAGCTCTGCAGAGAGGACCTTGCTGCCTTCCCCAGCTTTGTGTCTGAAAGGCTCCAGCCACCCTGCACTGTTTTATATTTTCTGAAATGTGCTGTCTCACTCTAGCTCTTTCCCTGTAACACTGCGTTATCCATCTGGCCTCCCTGACTTTTCATCTTTCAAGTCTTAGTCCAAAAGGATTAAGGATTTAGTATAATTTGGTACACTTGCCTCATTTTCTGCTTTCCTAGCTAGACTTGCATGTTCTCTAAGTTATGTCACTTAAACCCCCTGCTTTGGAGTTGATTCTGTTTCTCAGTGAGCCCATGGGAGAGGAGAATTCCCTCCTGGGGTTTTCAAGGTCATAAATCTTTATAGAGCCAACGTGCCACACATCTTTGTCCTACAGAGCTTGAGGATTTGAACCTTCAAGTCAAAGTCATTTTAAGACTGCTTAATAGTTGCTTTTCTTTGCCTATTTTCTAGGTTTAGGGCAGCTGACGCTCCTTAGTTGTTACATAGTTCCTCCAACTTTTGGAAATATGGGTAGATTTGTGTATGTAATCTGGAGTAAGAGGAGTTAATGTGGCACTTTTCTCTCCTAGTTTATGGGTTTACTTTGATATTTAAGCTATGACAAATACTTGTCAAGGCTGGCGTCTATATCTATGTGCTTTCTACTCTTTAAATCTACTTACGCCTCCCCAAAATTTAAAACTACCCTTTTTTATTTTATTTATTTATTTATTTTAGAAAAAGCACAGCCCTACACACAAAGACCCTTTACGGTATTAAAGAAATTGTTGTTATGTGCCATCGAGTCGCTTGCGACTCATAGCGACCCTATGTACAACAGCCCTAAACTCTGCTCTGTCCCGTGCCATTCGCACCGTCTCCGACACACCCATCCCGATTACCCCAATTTCTGAATCAGTCCACCTCATAGGGGGCCTTCCCCTTCTGCGCTGTCCCTCCACCCTACCAAGCATGATGTCCCTCTCCAAGGACTTGTCCCTCCTTGCAACATGTCCAGTGTATGTCAGACGGAGCCTTAGAATCCTTGCCTCCAAGGAGCAGCCCGGTTTGACCCTTTCCAGGATGAATCTGTTTGTTTTCCTAGCAGTCCA